GATTGGGGCCGGGCCGGGGTCAGCCCATGGGATAAAACTTTTTATTAGGGTAACTTATAATAATCTAACTAGTATATAATTTAATTACTTAAATACACGTTATGTTGTAATATTATGAATCTTACTAGATTTTGGTACGTCCAGATACATATAACTCGAAATATATGGACTCAAAATTAGGTTAATATGTTCTAGATACACTTTATGTCTTTGTCAAAGTAGATTCGCATGTATCTAGGATGCATAGACAAAATCTCGCACCCTCGCCTCCCTCCAATCTTACTTATCACTTACTTATCTCGCTCGCGTATCTGGTATGTGAAATACACGCTAATTACACTAGGCTTTTTACTAGTATTATTAAAACAACACCATTGTTTATCATATTTGATTTGAAAATCTTCTCATTTTCTTAATGTTATAGAATTATAAGTTTGAAAAGAAAAAAAAAGAAGGGCTAGCCCGCCCTAGCCCTCGGCCCTTCAAGGATTGGATTGGGTTGAGCATATTCAGGCCCTTCCGAATGAAGGGCCAGCCCGCCCCAGCCCTTCAAATTCCTCGTCCCACGAGGCTTGGACCGACCCTTTTTTACAGCTCTAATCATAATCATTCAACTAAAGTGACCTCAACTTTTACCAAAGAAGGTAATGGATATTTCACTTTCATTTTACCAAAACTCCATCCATCTTTTAGAAATTATAAGGGGATTGTTCAATATTGTACAAAATAATAATAATAAGTAACTATAATTAACAAAAAATTAACAAGAATCTACAAAAACAATGGTCAATAAGAAATTAACAAATTACTGACTCTTCAAAAGTTATTTAGGCTAAAAAGCAGATTATAATAAGACCAATTTAATTCTTATTAAATTTTAATTTCTTTGTTTGTTGTTTTATAATTTTTAACACCTAACGAAACTATTTTTTCTTTATTATAATTACATATAACATATTAAATAAAAATATGTCATTTTAAAATTATCTCAACAAAAGATTTCATAATTCAATTTAAATCTATTCATTTTTTTATGGGTGGAAAAGCATTAATAAATGAACAAATCAATAGTGAGTTCAAAATTAAACAAATCATATTTTTATGATCTAATTTTACCGTGCAGAGTTAGGTATTTATTAAATTGTTATTAGTAGTAAGTTATATGAGAATATACACGTGTAAGCATATGGTACAAATTCAAAAAAAAAAAGTGGTACGACAAAATTAGATTTTATTATTGTCCCCTACTATAGTGGCATTGCCTTAAACATAACTCGTGGCGGGGTATCACGTGATTCATCTCCCCACCTATTTTTATTTTTTTTGACTTTGACTATTTCCTAACGCACTTTTTTCGAAAGGTGGTTGGATAGTGGCGAGAGACAGTGACGGAATCAGAATTTTTATTTTTCTTTGATGTGGAGGGTGGTGCGATGGGGCAAGAGTTGTGGTAAAATCAAAATTCGTACTTTTTCGATTTTGGCAATTTCCCAACTACTTGTTTTCTAGAGGGTGGTGGCCGGTGGGGGTAGGAGGCGAAAGCTGTGACGGAGCTAGAATTGAAATCTTTAAATTAGATAACATAATCACTCACGATAAAAGTAGAAAATTCGAGCCAAAATTGAATTAGATAACATAATCAATCACGATAAAGTAAAAATTTCGAGCCAAAATTGGATATTCGACCAGTGAGAGTTTTTACAACTCCTTAACTGTTGTGCTAACTCTTTATAAAGTATTGAAACGTATAATTTTATTTGTCCACTTTAAATTAGCGAGTTATGTTATTATATATTAATCAAAAGAATAATTATGAAAACCCAAATATTTAAATTTTAATTAAGCGCATCTCCATTTAAAAGTCATATAATGTCTGTGTAAAATTTATTGGCAAGTTATTGAATTTTATGTACGGAGAATTTATTGTTCACTTTATTAGTGTGGGCTAGAAATTCTTTCCAACAGGATTTGAACACTTGTAAAACCTTGTGCCAAGTGCTAAAACAATTAATAGTTATTATAATAGTAACAAACATCTCTCGAAGGGGTTGTATTTGGTCACCAAAAAAAATCGATTTTTAATAAAAGAATCAGAATTTGAATTTGAGCATCGAAATAAAAATAAAATTCTCGTAAAGATCTATTCTTCAAATAATTTATACAATAAATAAATGACCTATTGATCGCTCAAACTTAGATGAATTAGATAAATCATGCATTTATTGACTAATTTTATCACCTTTTATTTATGATATAATAATTAAAATACGCATAAATTAATCTGAACACCATCATTATAAATGAAAAAGATGCAAGTAGGTGAAGATTTAGTTTTGGATACTCCCCAAAAGTAAAAAAAAAAGAAGCTATATGGGAAGTCATGTGCTTCTTGAATGCTCACAAATAAATTCATCTCTACGTGTCCAACCTTATCTATCCAATTTATTCCCCTTTACTTCATATCAAATTGTCTTGTTTTATTATTATTTATTAGCATAGACAAATAATTTAAGATTTTAGGGGAGATATTTATATCTTCTAGCTTAGTATTTTATTAATAATATATGGCTCTTGGTTGGCAAAAATGGTGACAAATGGTTTCATTGAATTGAAGTACTTTGCTTAGTGATGTTAGGTAACGCCAATATTCTATCCATGAGGAGGCTCAGATGATTCGAGTCGAAGTCATAATCGAACATAACACTTATTTATTTAATGAGCTTAATTAAGAAATAAAATCTAATTTTTTATTATTATTATTAACATAGCATAGACAAATAATTGAGATTTTAAGGAGGTATTTATATGTTCTAGCCCAATAATATATGGCTCTAGGTTGGCAAAAATGTAGACAAAAGGTTTAATCTAAGTGCTTTGTTTATTAAGTACCATTTAGGTTCCATTTGTTAAGCTAGGCATAAAATTAGAGGATGTATTCGAAAATAACTTTTTATAACCCTATATGACTATAACATATATTGTAAAGAAAAAAGAAGTAAAAAAGACTATAGCCTATAATCTACTTCACTTCATTGATTTTTGTTTAATTGCAAGTCTTTTTTATTTTTTTGTTTTAAAATTTAAAAGTGTTTTTTTTAGATGAGAGATTATCATAAATAACTGATCTACTTATAAGATATTGAGATTTGTGTATTTTCTTATATATAATTCATTTATATAATTACATTAATTATATTATTATTGTTGTTTTAGAATTTTATCATTAACAAGGTGAAATTGTGGGCATGAATTTACCAATAAACCCCTCAAAAATTTCATTTGGGAGGGACAAAAATGTCCAATAATTTCAACACAAATTGTCAAAATTGGTCACACAATTCCCGGCCCATTAATTACTCTCCCTTTCCATTTAAATCCTTCAAAAACAATTTTATTTTTTTATTTTTATGAGATAATAATAAAATGTGCGCACCGTCTATTTTCTATACCTCATCAAATGATGTTTCACTAGATACATTATTCAAAAATAACTTTTCTACATTTATAAAGTAATGATAAAATCTGTACACAATTTATTTTCTTATATACTCCTTCTATTTTACCATTATCAAAGTGAAATAGTGGACAAAAAATTGTCAATCAACCCCTCAAAAATTCACTTGAAAGAGCCAAAAAAAAAAGGTACAATATTTTTTCAATACAAAATGTCAAATTTGGTCACACAATTTCCGGCCCATTAATTACTCTCTCTTTTCATTTAAATCATTCGAAAACGATCTTTCTATCTTCATTCGATAGTGAAAAAACAAGCATACAACCTTAAAAAATTTCACTAGATACATTATTCGAAAATAACTTTTCTATCTTCATAAAATAATGATAAAATATACATATAATTTGTTCTCCTCAAATTTCACCTAATAAAATTTCACTAGATACGCTATTATTATTATTATTTTTCCATTTAAACTCCCTCAAGTCTGCAAAAAGCCTTCACGCCGCCTAGGGAGCTCTAGAGTCGTCAAATGTAAATTCTTATTTATTAAAGTCACCTTTGGTCATTCTTAATTACATCACCAACCAATCATATCAATCCACACAAGTATACAATATTCTTATCCACAACACGTGTCCTTTTTAATAGAAAGCAAATTTCATCCTCTCTGCCCCCACCTAGATTTGGTAATACTCTATTCCGATTTAAATGTTTTACTTTTCTTTTTTTAAGACGCTCATGTTGTTCAAAAGTTAGAGCATATATGTCATTCATTTTAACGAAAGACTAAATAGGGACACGTGGTATAATCTTATCCGTCGATATGATATTTAATAAATGTCGATTTAATGGATATAATTATGACACGTATATGTCCGTTAGTATAAAGAGTATATATGCTTCAGTTTTTTAACAACAGGGGTATTAATATCCCAAAAATATGACGAAAAATATCTGAATATCATTAACAATAGTTCGGAGGTATATATTCCTTTTTCCGTACTTTTTAACATAAGTTTTTAAGTTGCAATATTTATGTGATAGATTAAAGATTATAAAATACAAAAGTTTCTTCTGTCCTTTTTTTTCTTTTAATTTTATGATCAATCAAATTAAGATTTTTAAATTAAAACGATGAAATATACTTATTTTAAAGCTTAAAACTGAATTTAATATATTGATTTAAGATTTAAATTTTATAGATCATTATCGATATATATTTTTTCAATCAAATCTAATGAAGTAGTTTTATTTTAAATCATTGTTCAATTAATTTATAATGTTAATATTGAATTTTAAATTTAATTTTAATATATATTTGATATTTAATATAATTATAAAATTTTGAGCAAAAATATTGTATTCGATTCAATAATATGTACGTAACCTTCTAGCTCCGCCCCACCGCTTTAATACGACTTTCTATTTCCATAATTTACTTGGCGTGTAATTTTAGCAACTCCCATTATTTTAACCGCAGTGGAACGTCGAAATGTCTAGCTCACAGTTTATATAACTTAACCATGGTTAGTAATTCTTAACCATGGTTAAACTCCACTTTATCACCCCTTTATATACAAACCATCATCACCGCCTGAACTACAAATCGCCACCACCTTTTCAACTAGCAAAATGATCGGAGAAAGAAGACGCCGGATTCCGACGATCGATGTTCCACCGTGGCCGTACTCCGATGATCAGACGGCGAACATGCAGTTCATGTTAAGCCCTAGTACAAATTCCATTTCTACCCCTAATAATTACAATTACAGTAACTTTGTTGTTGAAGATGATTATTCTCTGTTTCTACAAAATGATGCGGAAGATATCGATGAATTTGAGTTGGAAAATCGTGAGATTGAACTTCCGGTTGATGTTTACGCTTGTGATAATTTCAGGATGTATGAGTTTAAAGTAAAGAGATGTGGACGTGGAAGGTCACACGATTGGACGGAATGCCCGTATGTTCATCCCGGTGAGAAAGCTCGCCGGAGAGATCCACGGAAGTTTCACTATTCCGGTACTGCATGCCCGGAATTTCGTAAAGGGAATTGTAACAGAGGTGATGGGTGTGAGTACGCACACGGCGTATTTGAGTGTTGGTTACACCCAGGTCGCTATCGTACGCAGCCTTGTAAAGATGGTGGTAACTGTAAAAGAAGGGTTTGTTTCTTCGCTCACTCGCCTGAGCAACTCAGAGTATTGGCTCCGGGTTCGGGTTCGGGTTCAGATTCGCCTCGACGGTATGTTAAAGCTTTGCATTTTGTTTCATCGCCTGAGTCGAGTTCGCCGCCGACGGAGTCACCACCGATGTCTCCGATGACGGCGAACTCGTTTACCTCACTGAGTCGATCACTCGGATCGAACTCGGTGAATGAAGTAATGGCTTCACTGCGTCAGCTACAGTTAAACAGGTTGAATTCCATGCCTTCATCATGGAATGTACAGATGGGTTCACCTGTACTCGGGTCACCTAGACGACCCGTTATCCGACCCGGTTTTTATAGCTTACCTACAACACCATCTGGAGATCCGACCCGACCCAGAAACCGTTGTTTCGATCTATGGGAAAATGGGGAATGTCAAGAAGAACCTGTTATGGAGAGAGTTGAATCGGGAAGGGATTTAAGGGTGAAGATGTTTGAGAGGCTAAGCAAGGAGAATCCACTCGACGATCCGGTAAAGCCGAACCCGAATTTAAATTCGGGTCCGGGTCCAAATCCGGATGTCGGGTGGATTTCGGATCTGATCCAGTAAAGTAAATGGTGGTTCTTTTTTGTGTTTTCCTCATTTTGGAAGCTAAAATTGAAGGATATTATGTATGTTATTATTATATAATATGGTAAGAATTTAATAGTGGTAATAGATATGGGGAATTATGTTTGGTTGTAAAGGGGAAAGTGAAAATTTAGGAAGTTTTTTTTTGAAGGAATTGTAGGGAGCTATTATTATTATTAAAAAAAAAAATACCCCAATCTTTAGAACGATTTTTTTTATAAATGTTTAGCCAAAATGGCAAAGTAAAGATGGGGTGTTGTGTTTGTTTTGATATTTGAAGAATGGCAAATTGTAATCCTTTTAATGTTATGTATATGTACATTTATATATGATTTTGTAATTTGTAATGTTATTTTTATTATTGTTATTGTTGATTGTTTTTTAAGTTTCATATTTGTTAAGCTAGAGTAATTCTCTTTTTATGTCAATTGTTTAACTAACTAGATTGTTTATATCTTAAGTCGAGAGTCTATCAAAAAATAATTATTTTACTTTTGAGGTAGAGGTTAGGTCTGTGTACTCTCAATTCGCCATGGATTTTATTTTATGGAACGATAATGGGTTAACTAAGGTGCAAGTGCGAGGATCTATCGAAAATGATCATTCTACCTTAATATAATTAGGTTTGAATGTGTTTTTATCTTCTTTTTTTTTAGATTTTATTTTGTAGAACTACGATTAAGTTTTTTGAGTAGTATTAGCCAAGAGAATACGTGACATATTTTTGGTATGCATTTGCATAATTTAATCATAGTTAAGAGCATACTTTTTCATTAATATATAATTTAATTATGATTAATTTTGGCATGTACTTATTTAAACATTAAGGAGTAATAAATAAATAAATATTTAGGAAAAGACAATGAAGTACGTACTCTTTGTCATGTTTGATTATTAGAGGCTGCAGATGTTGTACGTATTCACAAGTATGATGCCAAGTGTAAGTCATGCCCCAAATACAAAAACTATCTAATCAATCGTTTCGTTTGGTGGGTGAGATAAAAATAATAATTTTGAGATAAATATAAAATAAAAATAAAATGATAGATTTATCAAATCTCGTATAAAAATGAGTTAGCTAATTTTATAAAATATTTCAATCGTTAAATTTTCTTATCTATCTTTATCTCACCGATCAAACGATCCGTCACAATTGTGGGGACATAATGGAATTGCCAAATGTGTGGAATTTTCTTCTGGTACAACTTTGTTTAGTTTGCTAAGGGTGTTTCGACGGAAAAGGCAAAAAAGTAGAAGTAACAATAGGCCATTATTGGTGTCATAAATACTGTAGTTTCATATGATCCAAGAAAACTTTATAATGTGTTTCATGTGTTCGATATTAATTGTATGAGATTTCTTTTTATTTTATAAAGAATAACTCGGAATAGATAAGGGCGGGCGGGGGATTATGCAACGGGCTTAAAAAGTATTTTCCTAATAAGAGATAGATAAACGATGGAAGATCTAGCATGTGTCCGTCTTTGATTTGCGATTCAAAATAGAAAATTCGTGTTTAATTTTTATGAGATAGAGATAAATAGAAATATTACATAATAAATATCTATGGTGTGAAATTTGTGATTACCACAATCACTTTCATTATCACAATCAATTATTGGTAAAGAGCGATAATCATTTACAACAATCACAAATCATACAATTTCATTAAGGTCGATAATTTATAAAGTCCACCTAAGCAAACTCAAAAAAAACAAATTTCTCATCAATTTTGAGTTTAAGAGTACGCTTGGATACAAGTTTCTTTCTAAGAGGTGAAATAGAATAATTCGATCTGATCAAACATGATAATCATACTATAGTAGAACATTATATGACCCATTATTGTACTATCTTTTAAAAGTATGATGACAAGTGTATGTTGCTCCAATAAGTGAGATGATAGGACAATTTTTGGGACACAATGGCATTGCCATATTTTGGGGCTTCTCTTCTGATGCTGTTTTGCTGTTTTTCTAAGTATGTTTTGACATAATATGCAAAGAGTAACAAGCAACAAAGGCTATAATTGGTGTCAGAGTTACTGTATTCTCAGATGGTCCTTGATAGCTTGTGTCACTGCTTAGGATGCGTGTGTTTATTTATTTATTTGGCTTAAGTCATTTGTAGCCATTTAAATTTGTCCGTATATTTCACTTGGACACCTTATCTTAGGCTTGTTCCAATTGAACACTTTTATTAGTAAAAAATAATATCTATTGAACATTTTTTTACAATCAATTAAAAATAAAAATTGTGTGTCATACACTCGCGATGACGTGGTATAATAACTAATCAAAAAAATACATGTGGCATTGAACCCATAATAACAATTAAAAAATAAAATAAAATAAAAATTATATTATCAACTAAAAAAGAAGAAAAACCTTTCTCTCCTTTTCTTCTTCGCCTAAACACCAGGCACCGACCCACCCCCAAAGTCCATTCTTCCTCATTTTCTTTTTCGCCGGAACACGCACAACCACTTCCGGCTAAAATCGTACACTCTGATAACTGTACACCTACCTCCTCTCCTTTATTCTGATTCAATATTGTAGTTGTTATTTTTCCCAATCTCATTCTCTTTTTCGAACAACAATCAAGATTTGTTGATATTTCTTCTTCATGTTGTGTGCTCTTCAGAATTTGAATTCTTTAACGATTTCAAAGAAAATAATTTTAAATTCGTATTAGTCTTGTCGGAATAATGGAGTTTCGCCGGAATTATTTTTTACTCAATTTGATTTTTATTTCTTTAATTGATACTTTTCCGATGAAGAAAACAACGACGATATTGATAATGACGGAATGATGCTAGAAAGAAAGAAAGAATGCAAGAATAGATGGAAAAGGGGGTGTATTGAGAAGTTCATTGGGGAAGATGACTAGCAGGGATTTTTTTAAAAACTTTTTTTTATAGGTTCAAATTATGATTTTTCTAATGGTGACATGTCCAATTTTGATTCGTCTGCAAAAAAGAAAATTGGCTTCACTCGCTTTATTGGATGTGTATTACACTCATGATGCCATGTCACCAAAAAGTATTCAATAGGTACATGTTTTGAACGGTAAAAGTGTTTAATAGGTACAATTTCTAGTTGAGGTGTCTAAGTGAATTATCCAGACAATTTTAAGGGGCCGCAGATGACTTAAGCCTATTTATTTTTATACAATTTAGGGGTTGTTTCGTTAGGAACAAGTTATTCTACGAGTAGTTATCTTGAGACAACTTATCTCATTATATATATGGGATAACTTATCTCATCGGCTATTACTATGGTATAAATGGTGGGATAAATTATTCTAAACATGGCAACCAAACGAGACATAAAATTGTCCTTGGACTAATTTTTTATCCCAAGACTATTTATTCTCATCCTCACACCAAACAACGTGTTTACTTGTGCGCATCCAAAATTAGAGAACATGAATGTCAGCTGGAACCAAATTAACATGTCTTTTAGCTTGATTGTAAACTATGACTCTGATAGTATTGCAAACGTCTTTATTTCTTCTTTGAGATTTATGAGGACTTGGTTCTTGAATCTTCATTCTTCCTTTTCTATATAGATTTGTTTTTCTTTACATAGTTTGTCATCATCAAATTACCTTATAATCTTAAATTTAGATACAAAGATGATGGTAATTTGATCCAATTTTTTTATTTTTGTTCTAGTTTATTTTGATTTGACTGTAATTAGGAGTCGCCATTATCAATAGTTATGAGTACTATTAATACATTACATTGGCCACCACCATTCACTATCATAAAAAATTACCATCATGTGATTAGTATCGGTCACCATCACAAATAGGTAGTACCCATAATCACTATCAATACTATCACCATAAACTATTTGCTATACCTACTAGTAGAGAAAATGACATAAATAGTCTCTTAATCATAGGAGTAGGTCTAAAATGGTCCCTTAACTATACACTTAACGAATATAGTCCTTTAACTATTCAAAAACTTATCAGTTTTGGTTCCTTAACTATACACTTACCGGTTTTAGTCTCTTATCTATAAAGTTACCAATTTTAATCCTTTAAGTATTCAAAAACTTATCAGGTTTGGTCTTTGTTCATTTTTAATATAAATTGCTTAGGTTTATATTAACGAAATCCATGCCTCGAGAAATTAAATCCTTTAGCAATTTTTTCTATTGTTACTCTCTCTCCGCTGCTTTTTCTTCCAATTAACCTTATGCGAAGAACCTTAACGATTCAAAATAAAATTCACGAGGAAAGAAAGTATAAGTCATAATTTCATTCAACAGAGTATAAAATGAAGCATTTTTATTGCTACTAATGGCTTGAATATGCAAAACTTTATTATAAAAAGAAAAAAAATTATTTCCCGCTAAATCCAACGTTTGTACTCCAACGACTTCATTGAACGGAATTGGTTTAATTTTTCAGGAATTGAAATTTATAAAATGGTAGATTTGCAATTTTTTTTATTTTTTTTAAATAGATCAATTTTATTATTCTATACATTTTATTTTACGTAAAGAATTTGAGTAAATTAAATAAAATCCGCACTAATTAGAATATTCAAGTGCGGCTTCAAGTCATTAACAATAATTATATGCTTAATTTTATCCTCCATTGAATAAAATCAGACGTATATCTTCTTTCCTCATTAATTTTATTTTGAATCGTTGATGTTATTGTTCTTTTCATAAGATTAGTTTGAAGAAAAAATGGCGGAGTTAGAGAAACAACTTTAAAAATGGGTTAACAACAACAACAACAACATACCCAGTGAAATCCCTCAAAGTGGGGTCTGGGGAGGGTAAAATGTACGCAGACCTTATCACTACCTCGTGGAGGTAGAACTTTAAAAATGGGTTAAAGATTTAATTTTACAAATATTTCCGTTAATATAAACCTAAGTTATTTGTATTAAAGAAATGGACAAAAATACCAAACCTGATAAGTTTTTGAATACTTAAAGGACTAAAATCGGTAACTTTATAGTTAAGGGATTAAAACCGGTAAGTGTATAGTTAAGAGACAAAAACTGATAAACTTTTGAATAGTTGAAAGACTATATCCATTAAGTATATAGTTAAGGAACTATTTTAGACCTACTCTTATAATTAAGAGACTATTTATGTCATTTTCTCCCTACTAGTATTGACACTCGCTACCACCAGTTAACACCTACAGTCATTATCACCCGTTACTTATTATATTACTGTTTTAAATTTTTCTTTTATAATTAAGTTGTGCATTAAAATTAAAATATTTAAATTTAAAAATTCATTTGAATATAAAGATATTGTAACAAATTGTGGACCCAACACAATCCAAGAGATAAGGTATTTCTGTTGTGTGATTTTCCAACACACTATTAAATAC